CACACCCCTCCATTTGAGGGAGTGTGGGCTCGGCCCTGCTGAGCCAAACTGCCCGCCGGCCCATCGGACCTTCAGCAGCGTATAACATCCCGGTTGAACTTTTAAAATTCACTGATTCAGAGAGAGCAGGCAATGGCAACTGAGAAGGTCATTGAGAAGGTCTTCTGTTCTTCTTGGAAATATTTTTTAACTTTTGGGTTGAGCAATAAGCCCCCCAGCTTCAACTTTCCTGATCCTTCAGAAAGTTGCAGCTCGGAAGGAAATGCTTTGTGCCTTCTGGTCTCGGATAGAGCAGAACAGAAAAAGTCACCCTTCCTTCCAAACATAAAAAAGCTCAAGCATCCGCTTCAAAATCCACCTTCAAACCTCTGATGTAACACTGGTCCGGCATCATCCTGGTGCCAAAACTTTGCCATGGGCTTTGATAGGTGAGCTCCCTGGTCACTCCGTTTGCTCTGTCTGCTTCGTATTACTTGCTGAGTCGCGATTTAATGGTAATGTCTAAATGAGAAGGGACAGAAAATGTGCGGCCGGAAGATGGGGCCAGTAGAGAACAAACCGATGTGATCTACACGGATCTAAGAACTAAACTTGTTGGTGGCAATGCTGAAGAAATAAGAACTGAAGGTACAATTAGGCTCTTTCCATATTTTTTGAGTCAAATGCTACCTCCCTGTAGAGGACCTCCCGACACATGCACTTGTGTTGGGAACAGACTTGTTTTTTCATACTACTTGACTAATTGAATACTTATTGTAGGATCAGGGATCTGTTCACCAGCTCATTCAGCCAAAAAACCACTTTTCCTTCAGCTTTAGACCTTTTCACTTCCCTCACCCCTTCTGCCACCACGATCTCGTCCCCAACTATTTCACGAAGGCCCTACTTCATTAAATGATTACCGGATCTTTGGGTGTGAGCCCGAAACCGTCAAGCAGCATAAACGGGTGATTCGAAACCGCCGAGGTCCTATTGAAGGCACAGTCCACGATTATTTTGAGGTAACTCTTTTTAGTCAAAAAATACGGAAGTATAGGTTGGGAATAGAAGTTCGCCGATTTCGAGAAAAATAAAGCTCCTCAAAAGTAGGGAAAGTAGAGGTTGGACGAGATTGCCATGACGCATGGAAGAGATATTCGGACGAGATTTCAGTTATTGCAATTGCGTAGAGAGGTGACTACATCAAGCCGAAACTGTGCAGAACTGCCTCTCATTGTTGCTATGGGTCATGGCAAGTTGTTTGAACATCCTACATGGTTTCTCTTGTGATCGGTGGAGCCTCTATAATGCCAGTGAAACTCGTCCGTGGGTACACATGAGCCCATCTTTGAGCCTTTATTACTCCATAACTAAGCCGTTTTCCGACATAATAGTGCCAGATATAGTATACGCGGGGACCTCAAATTCATCCTTGGAGGGAATCTCGGGAACCATTTTTATCGTGAACTGTGCCTTTGAAGGTTTCTGCTTTGGTACCCTTTTCAATTTGTTCTACCCCAAGAATCTAACAAAGCGGCCTACTAGCAGTGCTGCTGTGAGAGAATTTACGACCACACGTTTTCATAAAACTTTATTTGATAGAAATTTATTAAGTGCATGGCATTGGTAACTGATTTAAAGCTTTCTTCATGTTATGCTCATCACCTTTTCAATTTAAATGAAAAGGAGGGAGACGACATATCGGGTTATAATTATCACAATATAGGCTGTGAAATATGAATTAATGCTAGAACATGAGAACACAAATGACAACTCAGCAGTGCTGCAACAAAAAGAAGAAGAATTCTGGACGGAGATTTTGGCAGGACTGGCCGAGTAAAGCGCGTGCGACAATGGAGAGATTGCGAGCGAGGGGAAGTAGGAAAGCATCTAGGTGGGGGACTGCTGAAGGAAATCCCGTCTGAGGGATCCCATATTGATGGGTAAGGGGGTGGGGGAAGAAAAGGTAACGAACATGAAGCACCTACACATATTTGAAAATCTCTAGCGGCGACTGGGAAATGGTGGGGGTGATGATGATGATGTGAGAAGAACAATCGCTCCTAGGAAAAACAAACAAACAAACAAACAAACGTACAAACGAATATACCGAACCGAACCGAATGGAAGTCCGAATACGACGTTGGAGACCGCAGGTTTGCATAGACAGACACCCGGCAATGAATAACTAGTTATGCAGACATAAACACAGTACGTGTACGTGGCGTGAAAGATGTGTGAAACACATAGAGCTAAGCATAAATTAAACGACCCGACCGATACAGCAGGCAAGTAAAACAATACGACGGACGGAAGAATCGCGCTGCGCTACGAGTTCCCTGAACGAGCTGATTCAGGCTCTTCAGGGATTCGCGATTGATACCATTCACGATTTTCTTCAAGCTGATCGAGTATGTTCTGTGCATCTGGATATACCAGATCAGCCCACGTCTCATATAGTGGATGGACTATGTAGTCGATAAAGCCGACCTAAATTGATAGAACTTTATGTCCGCACTCAAGGGGAGACAAGCAGTAGGAACGGTTTTATGTAATCGATCCGCCGCACGCGGCTGTCGCGGACCATTTGCCTCGTGTCAAAGTACTAGCGGTCTTTATACAGCTCGATCGAAATGCGAATATTACTTTTGGCATGGTTCTACTGTTAGTTCTTTTGTTCCTGTATTTCTTAATTGCTGCTTCCTTCTGCTACATTCTTTCGCGCGCGGCGTCTCTCTCGCCGCGAGCGACAATTTCGTTCCTACTGCACCACACCCGCACTTAAGCAATAGGCGAGAAAAGAGTCGGAGACTTACTTGTGACTTCTCAATGGTGACATTCCCTCGGTCACACATTGGTGACACCTCGATACCGAGCTCTTTCTCCCGATCACCTTGTCGCCAATATTCTTCGAGAATTCGTGAATTCCATTGTCGATAAAGGTCGATCGGTTTCGTCGGATTCGATAAATCCGCCAGGTGAATCATCGATTGCAGAACCTATAAGGAATATTATATTATGGGGTTCATCTGGGTAGGTCATTCCCGAAGTGCTCACCTGGATTTTATCGTTATATTTGTCCAAAACGATCACATTGTTGCCGGCCACCTTTTTTGCTTCTACCATTGTTTTCAAATCAGCCAACAGAGACATATGCTTAGACATATCAGTAGCCAGCACCTGAAAACACTTTATAAATAAATATAAAAAAATTTAAAGAAAACTATAAATAAATGAAAATAAACAAGTAAACAAATTTTGCCTATTTTCGTTATGGTGAACAGTATATATTTTCATTTTTTTTGCGATTCGTTTATGATATCATGAAAATCTCTTTAGAGAATGTGCCACACAACT